CTAATCGGTTAAAAAAAAAAAAAAAAAAAAAAAAACAAGTGTAAAAATACCGATAGAATACGTAATGTCAGCGAGCGATAACAATGCGATTCCATGCTCCGATTACATCGAATATTTCTCGTAGCTTTTCAACGTAGTCACGCGAAAACAGGAATTCGAGGTATTTCGAGCAGAGGCCCGTGTCAATTTTCCCAATAAAACTGTTCTTCATGATCATTGGCTCGCTTCATACACGCGCGGCAAGTTTATTAGCCCGGCGAGCAAACATTTTCGAGCGTTTTGGCTCGTGTTCTAGGACGGTTTCGAAGAAAGAAAAGACAGAAGTGGAAAAACTTATGTTGAAACGTTTTTTTCATCATGAAGTTTGTCTCTGAACGTATATTAGAGCGTGTCGTTTTACATTGCAACTATGAATTTAATACGTATGTGTAATTTCATTTAATCGAGAATTTTTTAAAAAATCGAGCTAAATTGATAAATATTAATATTGTATTCTAAATTAATTTTTGAAACATTGAAATATGATAATGAAATGCATAATAAAATCATTAATTATGCCATATTTATTACTTGAAACGTATTCATTGTATCATAGGCCATTAATAGATCTGCAATGAATGAGTGAAAGATGAATGGCAGGACAATAATGGTCGTGACATGTATTATAGTGGCTGAAGAATTTCGTGTAAATTCGCGTGCAAAAAACTTATACGCGAGTGAATAAATTAAATATTGATCGTTTGTCCATCGAAATAAAAGATGCGAAGAAGAAAAGATTTATTATGATCGATTTTTGAAGGAAAAGCGTTAAATCTAACGCTGATGCAATCTGGAATCAAACGAAATGCATTTATACATTAAGGAAATGCTATTACTGTGGACGGTGGATTGAATAATTCATTTCGAAGACATAAATCAACTTACGACAGTATTTATTGGACACATCATACATGATGATTCATATGATTGAGATGAATTGTAATTCCTGCTTGTTTATCGATAGAGGAAAAAAATAGAGAGGCAACATAATGAGATTTGTTTGCTACTTTTCACTTCCTTTACTTTCTCCTAACAATTTCAACTTAACCACGATTGTAAATATAGAAAGTAAATCACATTGTTATGACAAATTGCTATTATTATACAATGAAAAGATCAAATTATCATACAAGTTTATTAAATAATTTTAATAATATTTATTCTATAAATACAATATGTATCTACGAAAAAAAAAATAATTAAATAATAAAAAAAATTCAAAGATTTTGGTAAAGAAAATTTCAACACAGAAATTTCTAACTTGCTCGAGAAGCGCACAAACGAAGCCTAACCTTATTCCATGGTGGATGGACACGAAAGTATTCTTCGAGATTCGAGTGAGCAGAAGAAGTGGAAATGGAAGAAGAAGAAGAAGAAGAAGAAGAAGAAAAAGAAAAAGAAGAAGAAGAAGAAGAGAGGAAAAAAAAAGAAGAGCAAGGACATCGAAACTTTCATATTGCCTGTGCTAAACTCTCGTGAAACGATCAATCGTGGAATATGTCGTGGAACGAAGAGAAGTCATGTGAAATATTTGAGTATCTTCGCTTCATAATACTATTTAGTTTCTACGCAAAGATACTTTTATTACTCTATTACTGCTTCTACCAGACTAAATAAATTCATAGGACTATCGATCGTGTATGGGACGATCTTAAAGAGATCAAAGCAGTTATCATCCCTTATCACTTCTAGTTTCTTCTAGATTGAAGAAATTTCTTCCATGATTATTTACATTTTTTATTTATATACTTTTTCCTTCTTTTCTTGACGAGTTTTTTCTTGCTCTCGCGATGAGTATAAATGAAATTTTGTATAGGAAAGAGACAACAGTAAATATAAGAAAGTTTTCATTATCTGGAGATTTTTTATTTTACAATAGAAAATGAAATGTTAAAAAAATTAATATATTTTATTAGAAATATTATTTACAATTTAACACACAATAGAATATCGAAGAAAAAGATCTATTTTAAATTTCATTAAACTTTTTAGCTATAAATCAAGTATTATTGTATAATTCAATTGTGTGGAATATTTTCCTTTTTTTTTTTTTATACTTAGAAATTACTTGAATTTGCACCAGATTTTCTGTTCAGTTACGCAATATCTCATTCAATAAACTAATTATAAAAAAGAAACGATATTAATCGAGCACTTTTTTCGGTTGCGATTTCCGATTGAGTGGTCGTTTGACAGCTAGGATGTAATTAACCGTGAACTTTAACGCGTAACACCGAAGTAATTAGTTTGCACGGTGAGATCGGCACGACATCGAACGAACTGGATTTAATAAAAATCGAATTTGGATACTCGGTTAATTTCAATCGGGCTTTGGTAATTCCGCGGACTTCGCATCGAAGCGGGTTAACTTCGTTAGCAACGCTAATTCGATAGAATTAATAACATTCGCTGTTCATACTGAATCGAATTGGAATCAGTGAAGTTTCTTTTTAGTCCTCTAGAAGTGGAGAAGAATATTTCGAATGGAAAAACTGTGTTAACTCGATTTTTAACGAGTTTGTAAATATTTTTCTTGTGGGATGAAGCTCACTGTCTATATAAATTTTCTTAATATCGTTCAACGTTTAAATATTAAATTATAGATTATTTAAAATTTAGAAAAATAAGAGATAGATAAAATAATACAACATTTAATTCCATTTGGAAATAAATTTTCCTCTTCCAAAAAATGATCTAAGAAAGAAAATCTTTTAAGATTTTATTTCCAAGAAAACAAAATAAAAATCTCACGTTGAACATACAACTTTTACATTTATACAAGATATTAATTTAATATTATTTATTGTACCAAAATATATTAACATCTACCTCCACGATACGATTTCTTTATTAAAACTATAAATATCAATGCTTCGATCACCGTTCCACGAAAGAGCCACGTCTAAATTGCGTCACATCTACGTATATAACCACCTTTACACCTTGCCTTCGTATAACCTTCCATTTTCCTCTCCCCCTCGAAGCGCGTT